ACACAAAATAATGTTATTTTTAGCAACGTAATATGACCCCTTTAATTTATACAGTGAACACACTCAGAAGAATTGGAGAACGGAGGAGGAGTTTCAACATCTGGAAAAGCGGTTGGAAATTGAGAAGATCCAGGCAGCAATGGTAAAAAAACAAAAACAAAAAAAACCTCTCCAAAACAACATTTCCTCACTAAAGCTCTCATCTTTGACAAAGTCCATAATTTATTTAAATTATTATATTGAGTTTATGACTTAACAATGGCGTGTTAGATACAGAGAGAGCATGAGCTAATTGAATAGAATATCTTTGTCATTGTACAAGTAACGTTACAATAAGATTTATTTTGAAACTTCCAAACTGATAGTAAGAATACAAATGATTTAAAATGGCAATATAAAATTATCAATTATAAAAAGTTTGCAGCAGTATTAAAATAGTGCAGATAGCTCAGATGTGCAATGCAGCATTAAAACCTAAACAGTACAAACAGAAAACATAATGTAATAAAACGGTAGGGGTGAATTTATTATTCCATGTACATTTGAGGTTAATGTGTGTACTGGGCTACTTTTTAGTTACAGCAGCTATCACTGTGTTGTTATGAAGTCAGTTGTGCCAGGCAATTTTGGAGGCAGAGACAGATTGTGGGGGGGTGCTATAAGGAAAAACTTAAATGGTTGGAATAAAGAGTTTTAAAGGGTTAGTGATGGAAAACTTGCAGGTCAATGGGCATCAGTGTTTAAGGTTGGTACACGGACGCATATGATACTACCTGCCTGACATTGGCATGTGTTATTCAGGTGTCAAAGTTGTGCAGAGTTGAAGGAAGAAACCTCAAAGACAGTGCCAGAATGATGCTGGACAGGTAAAGCCTACAAACCTTGCCACATTAATCAAACATTGTGGTGTCAATACTCAATAAGTTACAACGCAAATCAGAAATTTAAAAAATAATTTTGAAATGTCAAACTTTGTCCGCAATTGTTAACCACCTCAATCTGTATTATATTTTAGGGTTTTAAAAGAATTCCCTCATGTCCAAATTCAACATGAAGAGGGGTGGTCCACTGCAGAAAGAGGCATTTGAAAAGAGTGCACTGTTCTCGGTCATTAGAGGTATGTGTATAAACACACAACATTTTGGATCTCCAAAGTCACAAAAATACACAAAACTACATGCATTTGCTTTAAAAAGCCAAATGCAAATCTTTCTTTGTCAAAATGTAGATTAATGAATGAATATTTACTATAAGGTTGCACGAATTGGTTGCTGTTGCGTCTCACAGGTTTTCCAAACTCAAGTGATTCACTGTCATGTGAATCTTCATCTTTGCTCAACTCTCCTCTTTCATCTAGAGGTCTGCGTTGTTCTTGAGATACTAAGAATATAGAGGAACAAAGCAATATCAACAAAAAACTGTAAGTCTTCATTTGTTTAAATCTCAATGAAAAATATTTCTAAAACAAAATATGGATAGGCCTGTGAAATAAGTTCCTGATTGAAAACATTTCAAAACTCTATCAATAGCATTTGTGGAATACGGTCAATTATGTGAGCAGTGAAATATGTAAATATGTACTTTTGTTGTGCAAATACTGTATGTACTTTCGTTGGAAGTGCATTACTGTAACTGGGTCATCAAGAGAGCTTAGGGTAAACCTACAATATTAAGATATTTTTTTGACGTAGCAGTACTTACACCCAGGAGAAGTTAGCTCTACGTTGCGGTGTAGATTATGCTCTTCTCCAGTAGTTTGGATTTCTTGCTCTTTCTTTGCCGTTCCTCCCTCTTTGGACTCCAGTTCCTTCTCTCTTCTACTCAGACCTTTCTCCTGCCTTAATCTGTCCTCCAATTCCTTAAGTTTTTGTTCCCACTCTCTTTCTTTGAGTTTGTGTTGCTCCAGTTCTCTTTGGAGCTTCTCATTTTCACTCTTCATCTGACTGTCATCATGAACATAATCATCAGTCAAGGATGAATACATGTCCTTCAAGGTGCTCACAGTGTCTTTACAAGCCGCAAGCTGTTCTTTCAGTGCATTCTCACGTTCAGTAAAATCATCAATGATAGAAGGAAACATGTTTTTCAAGGCGGTGTTGCTACATTCTTTGAACAGCAGATCTTCTTGAGCTCCTGAAGCCCCTTGCTGGTTCTGCTCCTCACTGTCTTTGGATTTCTTTAACCGTATCATAGTGGCCAGCATCAACTCTCTCAAAGTGTCAGTTTCTTTCTTTAAATTACTTTCAGTAGTTCTAAATCTTTCTTCTAAAGCAGTCATCTCTTGTGCATGCTGTTTTTGTATTTCAGCATCTCTTTCCTTTTCCCATGATAAAAATACCTTTTTCATGAGGTTTTCATATGATGGCTGAATAAAGAATGTGGACTCATTGTTTTGTGTCATAATTTCAGTTTCTGCAAACAGACTTTGAACACTTAGCTCATTGTCCTCTAATGTGTAAAACTTCCTCACGTAGCTCCTGACACTGTCGATCCCTTTCGGTTCAGTTCTTCCAATTATCAATAACATAACATAGTCTAAGGCTTCTTTGCCAAATACTTTAGCGATTGCTTTTAAAAGGTATTTTTCCTCCTTAATCACTTTCCTGTTGTCAGTAACTAACAGAAACGCATGCGGTCCAGGAAAGACCAGAGATGCACAATCTACCATCTCATCTTTGATAGATTTGACTCTTGAGGAGAAGCAAAGGCATGATTAGATTAATGAATGAATATTTACTATAAGGTGGCGCGAATTGGTTGCTGTTGCGTCTCACAGGTTTTCCAAACTCAAGTGATTCACTGTCATGTGAATCTTCATCTTTGCTCAGCTCTCCTCTTTCATCTAGAGGTCTGCGTTGTTCTTGAGATACTAAGAATATAGAGGAACAAAGCAATATCAACAAAAAACTAAGTCTTCATTTGTTTAAATCTCAATGAAAAATATTTCTAAAACAAAATATGGATAGGCCTGTGAAATAAGTTCCTGATTGAATACATTTCAAAACTCTATCAATAGCATTTGTGGAATACGGTCAATTATGTGAGCAGTGAAATATGTAAATATGTACTTTTGTTGTGCAAATACTGTATGTACTTTCGTTGGAAGTGCATTACTGTAACTGGGTCATCAAGAGAGCTTAGGGTAAACCTACAATATTAAGATATTTTTTTGACGTAGCAGTACTTACACCCAGGAGAAGTTAGCTCTACGTTGCGGTGTAGATTATGCTCTTCTCCAGTAGTTTGGATTTCTTGCTCTTTCTTTGCCGTTCCTCCCTCTTTGGACTCCAGTTCCTTCTCTCTTCTACTCAGACCTTTCTCCTGCCTTAATCTGTCCTCCAATTCCTTAAGTTTTTGTTCCCACTCTCTTTCTTTGAGTTTGTGTTGCTCCAGTTCTCTTTGGAGCTTCTCATTTTCACTCTTTATCTGACTGTCATGATGAACATAATCATCAGTCAAGGATGAAAACATGTCCTTCAAGGTGCTCACAGTGTCTTTACAAGCCGCAAGCTGTTCTTTCAGTGCATTATCACGTTCAGTAAAATCATCAATGATAGAAGGAAACATGTTTTTCAAGGCGGTGTTGCTACATTCTTTGAACAGCAGATCTTCTTGAGCTCCTGAAGCCCCTTGCTGGTTCTGCTCCTCACTGTCTTTGTATTTCTTTAACCGTATCATAGTGGCCAGCATCAACTCTCTCAAAGTGTCCGTTTCTTTCTTTAAATTACTTTCAGTAGTTCTAAATCTTTCTTCTAAAGCAGTCATCTCTTGTGCATGCTGTTTTTGTATTTCAGCATCTCTTTCCTTTTCCCATGATAAAAATACCTTTTTCATGAGGTTTTCATATGATGGCTGAATAAAGAATGTGGACTCATTGTTTTGTGTCATAATTTCAGTTTCTCTGAACAGACATTGAACACTTTGCTCAGTGTCCTCTAATGTGTAAAACTTTCTCACGTAGTTCCTGACACTGTCGATCCCTTTCGGTTCAGTTCTTCCAATTATCAATAACATAACATAGTCTAAGGCTTCTTTGCCAAATACTTCAGCGATTGCTCTTAAAAGGTACCGTTCCTTCCCAGTCACTTTACTGTTGTCAGTAACTAATAGAAATGCATGCGGTCCAGGAAAGACCAGAGATGCACAATATACCATCTCATCTTTGATAGATTTGACTCTTGAGGAGAAGCAAAGGCATGATGCCACCTGACTCATCCAGGTAGAAGGTGTTTTCAACACAATGACCTTTTTGCCAAATACATGACCTTTTCTGTGCTGTATTTCAGTTCTTCCTGCTCTTTCCCTAAGAATGATGTCACACGCATCAGCCATTAGATCTTCATCGCCGCCAAGTATAATAAATCTAAGCTCTGTAGCGGAGCCAGTACATCCAGTGATTGTGCCATCTGTTTAAAAGAGGTGAAATGTAGAAAATGTGAAAATCAGATTTCTATGAATTTAGACACAGATATATTCTTAGGCTCAAATCTTTGGTATATATTTCATGAACATCATTTTATATTATTTTAAAATATATGCATTTGCTTTTGCTCACAGCATTTCTTACCACTAAGCAGTAAAAATCTAATTCAAAATGTAATATTTGTTAACAGCTTATTGTATGTTAAATAAAAATTTTGTTTTGTAATGGCTTCATAAATGTGTATGGATTTAATGGAAAAAAGGATATTATTGCAAAGTAACATTAAATTGCAAAATAACATTAAAGACATTTAGTCATAAAATCTGAAATATTGCACTGTGGTGTGTCATGCTCTGTTGGAAAAATAGGTTAAAACTCGTTTTACTAAATGCTATTGTTTTGTTTCTTTACTGAGGGCATAGTAAAATACTAAATTCCTGGAATAACAAAATGCTTACCATGACTAATGAGTGGACCTGCACAGAGAAAAAAATAAAATAAAATTTATGCTCTTTATTAGAGTACCAATGAAAATAGTGTGATTTTGTTTTATACTTACGCCTATCTGAATCTTCACTTTGCACTAAAACACACACAATAACATTTGTTATTCGTGCCTACATAACAAGAACTGAGCTGCACAGTTTGTAACAGAAACTCATTTACAGGAATTACTAAATATGCTAAATAGAACCTGCAAAGCATCAAAACCATAAACTAATTTCAACTCTCAGAAATAGAATGCAGATCAGTAATATTGATTATTGTTTGATAATATTGAAAGTGTTACCTCGTCTTGGTATCGCTGCCATCTTGTTGTTTGTTTGGTATAATAAGAATGGTGAAGTCCATCAACTGATTATAAGAAGGTTAAAACCGAAACAGTCATGGACACAGACATGATCTATTCCTGGAAAACAGGACTGGAGTCCGATTCACGATTAATTCAGATAGAAAAATCTGTATAACCCAACTGTATGCAGATAGCAGACCTGTTACCTAAGAACAGGAAACATGTTTACTTGCAAATGAGATGAAGAACGGAAGTGCCAACCACAGAATGAAGAAAAGAAGAGTCTATATCACGTGAAAGCTGATAACAGAGCTTATGTGGTTGAAGTAGCAAGATACAAATTTAAATATATATATATGCATATAAACTTTCAAAAATGTTATTTACATTTCCTCCACAAACATGTGTTGTTAATTTGGCATCCCTGATGCTCAGCTGCTCACAAACCACAGAAGATTTAAACTGACACGTTGTTTTCGCCTGCTTGGAGTCTGTGCCTGTAGTATATTTTACATATGCAGGTGTTTTGGATTTTTGGCCTCTGTCGCTTTCAACAGTTTGGCTTCACTGTAAACCTGTAAAATCTTCAAAATGAGGTCTGTCATAAGGGTTAATAAACAATGATGAAAATGATGATGAATTTTCATTTTTGAGTGGCCTATCCCTTATTTTATGTCATTTCAATACCAACATCATCCTTCAGGAAGTGACATCATTTTGGTGGAAAAACCACAACACAAACCTCAGTAAGTTAGCAATGGACTTGATTTCTGTGATGTTTGTGCTATTAGTTGGTTTGTGTCAAAGTATTTACAAATAAATAAATACATAGACATGAAAATACTGCTCCGAGTTTAAATTACTTTATTATCTTTCAGCTTTTGCTAAGACAGATGGTCCATTGTAACATAGAAAACATCAGAAACAAAACACTGCAACAAATACTTTACAGTTCTACAGAATTATAGAGACATTTCTATTGAATTGTTTGATAAATAAATAAATAAATAAAACCAGAATAGATGCAAATAAATAAATACATTTAAAATAAAACATTAATACCAGAATAGATGCAATGGATTGAAGAAAACTATGATTTCATATTCATTATACAAGCTAAGTGAACTGTACTGCAAATCCACCACTTTAGACTGAACTTGTGAAAATGATGATTTCACCTACTTTTACATAACTATATTTCTGTCATGACAACTCTCGGAGTGATTGGCATGGTAATGTACATGACAATGTTAATGTTAATGTATTTGGTCTTGGCGGAATAGATCTGCTACGCTGCTGCTGCGGCAGAACAAGTACCGAGACTTGCTACTGCCAATACATTCACAACATGCTGCTGTGAGCATGTAAGCATGTAATTGCTGCTGCAATTATAACATACATGAAATAACCCCACACAAAGCAGGAGACATAGAAGGGACAATACAAGCCAAAACAAGAACAAAACACCCCCCAAAAAGCAGATCTATCCCCAAAACATATGTACTGCTGCTGCTCCGAAGAGCCATGAGAACCGCATGTATTACTATCTATGTTTACCTGGGCTACCATGCCGACCGGCTTAACAATAGTGGGCTATGACTATGTGAGCCTGGGCTACCACGCCGACCGGCTTAACAATAGTGGGCTATGACTATGTGAGCCTGGGCTACCACGCCGACCGGCTTAACAATAGTGGGCTATGACTATGTGAGCCTGGGCTACCACGCCGACCGGCTTAACAATAGTGGGCTATGACTATGT